CTCCTTTCCTTCCTTCCTATCCACTACAGATACCCAGTTGTTCAAGCACCATTTCAAAAGACTATTCTTTTCCCTCTGATATGTCATGACATCTATGTCATGTATGCATACATCCGCTTCAAGGTCTCCATTTTTGTTCCATTGTCTAGTGTTTCTGAGTCTCTATTCTGTTTCAATGTTTTACTTGTGTACCTGCACGAATGCCACACTCTCAGTCCCCAAATCATTATAGTGAGTCTTGATATCTGCTAAATAAGTCTTTCTATTCTGCTCTTCAGTACTGCCTTGGATATTCTTGGTCATTTGCTTTTTCATATGATTTTTAGATTCAATTCATCAAGTGAGTCTACTTTCATAATTCAGTTTGTTAAAAGAAAATAAAATACCCTGACATGATTTTCATTTGTATTGCATTGAATATATAAATCAATTTGGGAAGGATTGGCATCTTTACCATATTAAGCCTTTCTATCCATGAGCTCATGTGACATTGCTTTCTATATTTAGGTCTTTAATGACTTGGTAAAGTTTTATATTTTCCTTATGGGCCTTTCACTTCTTTTATTAGATTTTTTTCCATCTAAGTAATTCTACTGTAAATAGTATTATCTTTTAACTGCTGCTGTTTCATAGGAGTATAATTTTGCATCTGGCTGCTTAGACTAAACAAATAATTTCAAGAGATTATGTCATTTTTTTTTCTGGATTTCCTACATACTTAATATCAATGTTTCAAGGTTCTAGATTTTTCTTATCTAAATTTAATGCTTTTTATTTCATTATTCTTGCCTTATTATACTGGATGTATAATAATTGAATTAAAGTAGTCACAGAGGCAATTTATGATGTTCCTAAAATGAAAAGGCAAGCTTTAAATTTTACCATTAAGTATGTTTACTGCAAGCTTATTATAGCTATCCTTTGTCACTTAAGGAATTTCCCTCTTTTTCTTAATTATTTAAGGAAGTTTTAAAAAAACATAAATAAATATTTGATTTTTTTAGATGTGTTTATTACATCTAATGAGATGATCATATAGTTTTTTTTTACGTCAACTGTTAATATAATGAATTCTCATTAATTGATTTTCTAATGTTAAACCAATCTGTATTCCTGGTATAAATCCAAATTTGTCATGCTGTGCTATCCTTTTGTATATTTCACATTTATAGTACATGTGTGGATTTGATATATTTACATATTGCAGTATGGTTGCCACTGAAGCCTTAGCTGACACCTCTATCATGTCACATAATTATTATTTCTTTGTTGTGATGAGTACAATTAAGATCTAGTTTCTTAGCAACTTTGAAGTTTATAGTACAGTATTGTTTATAATCACTGTCATGCATTAGATCTCCAGGACCTATTTAACTATCAGGTGCACCCACCAGCTCTATTTTAGAAAGTATCTGTATGGGATATTGTTTTCTATTTCTTTTCGTTTTGGATGTTTTTCAGATGTTATCAGTTAAGTCCAACCTGACAACCTTGTCTTTTAACGAAAGCTTTACTCGTATTATATTTAATACATTTCTCATATATTTGCACTTACAGTATTGAATTTTGCGCTTCTTAATTGTGCTACGTGATTCATATTTCTTATGTAAGCTTTAAGGCTATATATATATAAGCCTGTTAAAGGCCCTACTTTTCATTATCATTCAGTTCAACATATTTTCTAATTACCATTTTTTTTTCTTTTACTCATACTTTAATAATGAGTTTCTTTTCCAAAATGTGTATATTTTTTAGTTATATTTCTGGTATTGATTTCTGGCATATCTTCTGGTGGAAAGCATGTGAAAAGAATATGCATTCTACAGGTGGTGTCCACAGGGTTCTGGATGTCCAATACTTTAGCTTGTCGTTCCTGTTGTTCAAATCTTCTTTATCTTTATTGAGCTTAGCCTGTTTGTTCTGTTGATTACTTAGAGAACCTATGTTAAAATTTTCCATGAAAATTACTGATTTTTCTCCTTTCTCCGTGTTTGTCAATATGTACCTACTTCCCAGTCTTTTCACATCCCTGAACAGTGATTTGTTGGAGTCTGCACTTTAAGAAAGGTGATTCGGGAGACTGAACCAGCGCTGGTCACATCTAGATTGTTTACTGTCCAGAATTTGAACGGGCCAGATTAAATGAAAAGATACATGGGTATTTTGCGGGGGGCCCAAGGCCTTTGGTTTCCATCTCCATTGTTTGGTCAGTTAGCTCCAGTTGTGCAACTGGGATGCTTTCTTCCAGTCTCCATTAATGTGTTACTTAGCAATATGG